TGTGGCCCTTCAGGGCATGCTTTAGTGCCCAAGATTATAGGTTTGTGGTGGGGTGTAGTATGTGGGGTTGTGGGTGTGGGGTTTAGTGGGTGGGTGGTCGTTTTGGGTTTGTTGTTTTTGTGGTGCTTGTGCGGTTGTGTGGTTTTTTTGGGGTTTTTTTGTTGGTGTTGTTGTTGTTTTGTGGTTTGTTTTTTTTTTTTAAGGTTGGACTCGGTGTTCTCAGAGGTCCCTTCCAACCATGGTGATTCTGTGTTCTCCATCTCCCATCTGATGGCTGGGTCGGGGACCACAATGTCTGCTACTACCTCTCCAGGGACCCGGGGAGCTGGGGGTGGAGCCAGGAGCAGTGCTCCTCGCGTGGGGCCTCGCTGGCCGTGCTGAGGAGGGAGTGGGAAATGGTGAGTGAGGGGCTGTTGTGGGTGCGTGGGGGTTTGGGGGGGTTCCTGGGTTGGGTTCAGACCCTGGGGTGGGAGCAGAGCTGTGTCAAGGCAGGACCTAGAGCACTGGGTGGGCTGGTGATCTCCTGCAGCAGCTCTGGAGCTTGTTGGAGCAGGCGTGGGGTGGGAGCTGCTGCCATCCCAGGGCTGGTGGTAGCCGTGTGGGGGCAGGGATACCTGTAAGGCTGGTGGGACCAGTGTGAGGCTGGGTCAGGGACTGGTGTGGGGCTGGCAGCAGCTCCTGACTCTTGGCTTCTCTCTTTTCTGCCCAGGAGTTTCTTTTACGCCTGAAGGGCAACATCGATTACTGGATTGGGCTGCGGAGACGGGGCGAGCACCTGGAGTGGGTGGACGGCAGCAGCTTCAACCAGACGTGAGTCCTGTTGGGAGCCGGGGCCGTGGGGAGAGAGTCCTGTGGTGGGATGGGCAGGGTCCTGGTGGGAGGTGTGTGCTGGGGCTGTCCCTTGCAGGCAGCCCTTGTCTCCTGCTGCTTGAGGGGACAGCTGAGACCCCAATGGTACCAGTGTTGTCTGTGCTGCTTGTTGCAGGATCCCAGTGGTGGGTGAAGAACCTTGTCTGTTCCTCAATGACCATGATCTCCTGAGTGCCCGCTGCTTGCAGACACGGCATTATCTCTGCAGCAAACCTATGGCTCCAGTGAGATCCACGTGACAGAAGTGGTGGAGAAAGGCCCTTCTCCGTGGTGGGGGCTCACAGCTTCCCCTCTTCCAGCAGCACAGAGTGGAGCAGGGATGTCCTTCCCTCAGCTGCTGCTCTGGTTGCTCCTGGTCTCAGCAGAAACTCGCTGCCAGCTCTCAGGAGATGAACCTGCAGGTCAGGAGACATGGTGGGAGCTGCCGTGTGCCTGCCTGGGACCTCAGCAGTGAGTGAGTGAGGGGCTGTTGTGGGTGTGTGGGCGTTTGGGGGAGGTTCCTGTGTTGTGTGTGGACACCGAGGTGTGAGCAGAGCTGTGTCAGAGCAGGACCAAGAGCTCTGGCCAGGGTGGTGAGCTGTTGAAGCAGCTCTGGAGCTTGTTGGAGCAGGCGTGGGGTGGGAGCTGCTGCCATCCCAGGGCTGGTGGTAGCCGTGTGGGGGCAGGGATACCTGTAAGGCTGGTGGGACCAGTGTGAGGCTGGGTCAGGGACTGGTGTGGGGCTGGCAGCAGCTCCTGACTCTTGGCTTCTCTCTTTTCTGCCCAGGAGTTTCTTTTACACCTGAAGGGCAACATCGATTACTGGATTGGGCTGCGGAGACGGGGCGAGCACCTGGAGTGGGTGGACGGCAGCAGCTTCAACCAGACGTGAGTCCCGTTGGGAGCTGGGGCTGTGGGGAGAGAGTCCTGTGGTGGGACGGGCAGGGTCCTGGTGGGAGGTGTCTGCTGGGGCTGTCCCTTGCAGGCAGCCCTTGTCTCCTGCTGCTTGAGGGGACAGCTGAGACCCCAATGGTACCAGTGTTGTCTGTGCTGCTTGTTGCAGGATCCCAGTGGTGGGTGAAGAACCTTGTCTGTTCCTCAATGACCATGATCTCCTGAGTGCCCGCTGCTTGCAGACACGGCATTATCTCTGCAGCAAACCTATGGCTCCAGTGAGATCCACGTGACAGAAGTGGTGGAGAAAGGCCCTTCTCCGTGGTGGGGGCTCACAGCTTCCCCTCTTCCAGCAGCACAGAGTGGAGCAGGGATGTCCTTCCCTCAGCTGCTGCTCTGGTTGCTCCTGGTCTCAGCAGAAACTCGCTGCCAGCTCTCAGGAGATGAACCTGCAGGTCAGGAGACATGGTGGGAGCTGCCGTGTGCCTGCCTGGGACCTCAGCAGTGAGTGAGTGAGGGGCTGTTGTGGGTGTGTGGGCACATGGTGGGAGCTGCCGTGTGCCTGCCTGGGCCCTCAGCAGTGAGTGAGTGAGGGGCTGTTGGGGGTGTGTGGGCGTTTGGGGGAGGTTCCTGTGTTGTGTGTGGACACCGAGGTGTGAGCAGAGCTGTGTCAGAGCAGGACCAAGAGCTCTGGCCAGGGTGGTGAGCTGTTGAAGCAGCTCTGGAGCTTGTTGGAGCAGGCGTGGGGTGGGAGCTGCTGCCATCCCAGGGCTGGTCGTAGCCATGGGGGGGGCAGGGCTGCTTTTATGGACAGGTAGGACCAGTGTGAGGCTGGGCCAGGGACTTTTTGTATAAATACTGGGTGAATGTACCCAGTAAGAATGTCCCCCAAGGCAATTTGGGGATTGCCACCTGGCACTCGACATCAAATAAAGCAATATTTCCTCTCTAAACTGCTTCTGGTTTCCAGAGCTTTTGTGTCGGGGAACATTCCCAGCAAGTGCCCTGGGGAGGGAACGGCCGGGGGGAGCAGCTGGATCCCCAGGGATGGGGGCTCTTTTCGAGGGTCCTGTTCTTGGGCATCCTCACTTTCCTCTGGGCACAAGGGTGTCAGTGACATCAGCGTGGGGGCCAGCAGGAGCAGGATGGCCGGTGTGAGGGACACTCCGTGGGGGCCAGCAGGAGCAGGATGGCCGGTGTGAGGGACACTCCGTGGGGGCCAGCAGGAGCAGGATGGCCGGTGTGAGGGACACTCCGTGGGGGCCAGCAGGAGCAGGATGGCCGGTGTGAGGGACACTCCGTGGGGGCCAGCAGGAGCAGGATGGCCGGTGTGAGGGACACTCCGTGGGGGCCAGCAGGAGCAGGATGGCCGGTGTGAGGGACACTCCGTGGGGGCCAGCAGGAGCAGGATGGCCGGTGTGAGGGACAATGGGAAGAAGGGACACAGGGTGTCAAACCCACCCCAGGAGAGCCGTGGGGGTGGGACCAACGGGGTCGTTCCCTCCCGGGGCAGACAGGACACCGGGGTCCCAGCGTACCTCGGGGGCAGGGGACAAGACCGGGGTCCGGGGGTGTGTGTCTGAGGCTGTGGGGACCCGGGGGGTGACCCCGGGCTGGGGGGACAGGGGCAGAGCGGGCAGACACAGCGGGTGCGGGGGGTCTCGAGCCCTGCGGAGGGTCTCGGGGGGCTGAGGGCGGGGCTGCCCCGGGGGGGGGAGCCGGGACGAGGATCCGGGGGGTTGGGGGTCCCTGAGGGCGCTGACCCGGGATTCCCCTCTCCCCGCCCTTTCCCCCCCCCGCGCTGCCTCCGGCGCTTTCGCTTTCGGTTCCAACCTGCGGAGCCGGGATCTGCCCGGCGACCGGTGACGTCAGAGGCGGCTCGGGCGGCCG